TGAGCTACTCTTAAAATTTTCTAAGCTCTCTTTTTTCTCAAGAGTTCTATAGTTAAGTGTAGATCCCCACATTAACCTATCCATTATATCGACAAACTGGCCCAATTGCTCTGCTTCATTGACATTATCTTAATTATCATTCATAATTCTGTAAATTTAAATTATTTTCATCTAAATATAAAAACTCAAAACACAATTAAGAGCTTGTATCTAGCTAACAACCGCTGTTCTGGGCTTATAAATTAGGCTCTAACGTGTTAACGGCTTCCAGTTTCAAATTCTGGCCAACAAATATCATGTAGATAGCTGGAGAGGGGTAGGGAGAGAGCGTGAAATTGACATTGTGATCGGAGTTAAGGTTAAGTCTAAAGTTCTCTCGCATAATATGACGCATAAATTTGGCTTACAAAGTAGTAGCTGGCAGCCAGCGAGGCACAGATACAGCAGGCAGCAGGCAACAGGTAATGGGTTCACGGCATTCCGGTGGCGCATACGCGACTTAACCTGGCTGCCACAGCAGCAGCAGCAGCAGCAGCAACAGCAGCGAGAGCCCATCCAACGTCATCAGCAATATGTTGCCGACGATGTTGCTACCTCGGCTACGCTTGACTTTTCTACCTGGCTTACGCAGCGAGCGAGACGGCGAGTGTGGGTGAGAGAGAGATGGCAGCTAAGCGAGCGTCTAGGTTGAGTCTTCCAACACGTTGGCCAGAGCAGCTCAAGAAGCCGCTTTACTTTATTTTTGGTTGTTAACGAGGCCTAAACGACTTGCTTGTTGTTGCCCATACTGAAAGAGCGCGAAGCGGAGCGAGTGCTCAGAGAGCCAGAGAGCGAGAGAGGGAGAGAGCAGAAATAATGTGGTTTCCATTTTGGAACTGGAACCGGCCAGCCGACGCTCTCTGTAGCTGCGTGTGTGTGAGTGAGTGTGTGAGTGTGCGTGTGTGTGTGTGTGCCCTGAGCCACCACTGTTACGCTTTAAGCTGGACAACGGGCAACTGGGCAGCTCTGCATGCAGTTGACGCGGCGAAAAGAAGAAATGCCTTGCGCTTCCAAAAATGTATCTCATGGATACGAAATATATACATACACGTATACACACACACACATATATAAATAGGCATAAGCGAAAGGAACGCGAGTGTGCGCGCGTGCGCTGTTGCCACGAACTGCCCCCAACTGCTGCCCCGAAATGCTGACTCAACACACGGTAGCACAGCGCGTAATAAACGCTTTAAATCGTTTTTAATTAAGTCCCGCAATGCAGCGCAACAGGTGATAAAAGTAGCCACAAGCAATTGATTTTCAAAAGAAATTCACAAATTTCTTTCTTTCGTCAAATCCAAATTCTAAAGTGTTAAGAAAATACGCATTGATACGAAAAAATACAGATACAGCACGTAGAAGCAGCACAGATACAGAAAGCGAGAAAAATACAGAAAAATTAATTATTTACACATCGATAAGCAGCGTCAACCACAAGCGGCGGCAACAACAGCAGCAACACGGGCATTGTATCTGCATCTGCAGGTCGCAGCAGTAACAGATACATTTTTATCACAATCACACATGCCATATATCTCGCTTTTAATGTCTTTATAAAAGGTGTGTGTTGCCCTGAGATACATTTCAAAACCCGCACAGGCAACTTGTGGCAGGCGAGGCACACGGCAAACGGGCAGCCGTTCAACCGGGCAACCGGGCAACCGGGCACCGGGCACAGACAATAAACAAACAACAAGGCGACGAGGCCAGGACAGGACATGCAACAGCAGCAGCAGCAGCAGCCATTACGAAATGCCATTTCATTATGGCAGAAGCAGCTAAGCCCAGCTCATTTCAGCTGAGTCATCTTGGCAACAAGTTGTGGCAAGGTTAAGCGCATGGTGGAGCAGTCGCTGGAGCTGCGCCTGGCAACAAGTTGGCTTCTCATGCAAATCCAGCGCCACACTTTAACTATGCAGAAGACACATAGAGATAGAGAGGGAGAGAGAGATAGAATGAGATCTCTTCTCATGGATGCACTTGCTCAGCCACTTGAGTGGACTTTGTCTAGCCAACAGGGCTGGCATCTTAAATGCTCTCCCAACTACCACTAGTTAAGAGCCAAGTTTATACGTTCTTAAGACTTAAATGATTAGATTCTGCTGAGTTTTTCTAAGGTTCAGAGATCTGTTTGAAAGAATGAAAAATATTTTATATTTTTATATGGGTTCTATGTAAAGTAGTTGACTATTGATAAAGAAGATGGATGCAAGGCGTTAAGATAATACGTAATGGTATTACATAATGGTATTAAATAGAATATGCCGCTCAGCTTATATAAAAAAGATATCAGATCAATCAAACTGGAATCTAGAACGTAGTCTATTCAGGATGCCCATATTTTAGTTGCTTTACTAAAGAAATCGTTCGGATTTCATGGTTTATAGGATCTTTAGGAAAAAAAAAAAAAAAAAAATATATATATATATATATATATATATATATATATATATATATATATATATGTGTGTTATTTATACACAGTAAATACATACTTCACTTCTGAGTTAAGTTTAAAAGAAATGAAATTGAATTCAATTTTCTTCTACTACAATTGGTTTATTTATTTATATCAAAGGTTCGATTTTAGGGCACACAAGAAGTGTATTCAAAGTATTTTTTTTTTTTAACTAACAATGCGCTTAAGTCAAAACCTGAGCCAAAACTCAGGCACAGATCCAAGCCAGAATCGATAGAGTTGTACGCAGGTCCAAAGAGTGGGCGCAGCCGCAGCAGGTTTCTTATGAAGCAATAAATTTCGAATGGCTGTCGCTGGCGAAGTGGAGCGAGGCAACAATATAAAAAAAATAAGATGAAGTAGAAAAAAAAAAACAGATAACTTTTGATCCAGATATATACATATGTTGTCATGGTTTGGGGTTAAGCAAGTAGATCAACATTGAATGCCATTTGCTCGCTCTAATGCCGGGCTAAATAAATAAACGTTGCAAGCGGCGATCTACCTGTAGGTGGTTGCCGATACAGCGCCCAGGTAACAGGCCGTGCAAATGCAATCTGAGCGTAATTTCCAAGCTGTGAGTCGGAACCAGTCGCCGATTACGATCAAGCCAACTGGTTCCCAGAGCGAAAACCATAGAGAGAGAGAGAGTGAGTGAGAGGGAGTGTAAGCGCGCGCGACTGTAGGTGAGAGCGAGAGCACTAGCGAGCTCTCTGAGAGCGAGCTCTGAGTGAGTAGCGGTGGGCTCAGTTAGCAGCGTTTTGTGTCGAATTCAGTAGGTTTTGGAACGCCGCTGAGCGCAGCTGCACAAATTTAGAAAACGGTAATCACAGCAACACCAAGCTGCAGTTGTCAGTAGCAAACAAAAAAATCTACTCAGTTATACACATACACACAACCACACACAGTTGCAATTACATATACAGATGCAGTTTCAAATGCAGCTACAGCTGAGGTGGTTGGTATGACAATGTGTGTGTGAAGCAGAAACAAAAATTTGCAACAAAGTATAATAACTAGAAACAAAAACAATAAATTAAAAAATAATATGTAAGGCCAAGCGCAAAACGGGCCAGAAAATTAATGGCCCGCAACGCGTTTAAAACAAGTTTTCAATGTGTCAAAAGTGGCTATAAATTTTGTATGCGAAATGCCAAATTGGCAGGAGCAAAAGAATCACTTAAAAGAATAGCGGCCAAAAAGCTGCAGACAGGCTCGGCTACGGCTAATGTTGGTAGCGCAAAAGAAGAAAAAACTTCGAAAAAAAAACGGCAGCAAAGCGCAACAGTGGCACTACACTAACCGACCCGACCCGAACCGAACTTGGGGGCCTCTCGCTCTCGCCGATCACTCGAAAAAAAGAAAATACCTTAAAACCAGTTTTTCGTAAAATTTATTGAAAAAAAAAAAAGAAAAAAGCAGCCGCAGCAGCAAAAGAATTGAAGTTGAAATGAAGTGCCTGGCTCTCTGTGTGTGTATTCGTGTGTGCTGTATCTGCCTGTGTTTGTGTTGGTGTGCAGGGCATGAAGCATTATGTGTAACTTTCAATGCTCAGTGCTGAAGGCAGAAGCTGGCTGCATTTTGAAAAGGAGTAGCCGCCGCTGCGCAGATGCAGACACATTTTGACTTTAATTGCAGTGTGTGCGACAGAGACGACTCTATGTGTGCGTGTGCGTGCGTGTATTTGAGAGTTATGCGATATGCGCTGATGAAATGAAAGACGCACAAATCGAACTTAAAACAACAGCAACAAACATGACAAATTTGCATATAAACAAAAGCGCCAACGAGAGATTCAAAAAAAAAAGATGAAAGAAATAAAGAAAACAAAAGGCAAACAGAACCTGATCTCGATCTTATGATCGAATTCGAGCCGTTAGCTATATGTATATATATATATATATATATATATATATATATATATATATATGTATATATATATCTTTATGTATATATATTGAGCTGAGCACTATACAAAAGCTTAGACTTTCAAGTGTCTGCACATATGTATGCACATACATACATATAAATAGCCATGCCCCAAAGTGAAATTTATGCGTGGGTTGACAAAAGCTTTAGCTAGAGCCCCATTTACCGGTTCTTCTCAGCTCGAAGACTCGCTTTGAGGCCATTCAACCGATGTATGTGTGTGCACAAAAGACAAAGATTAGATTAGATTGTGCTACAACATAAATAAATAGAAAACAAAAAGATCTATGCGGAGTGGAGAGAGCGAGAGCGAGAGAGAGAGGCACTTACTTAATTGTAAGTGCGGCTTGTAGAGGGCAGACCGATAAGGCAGCCAACGGAAATGTGTGCTGTAGTTGCGCATCATTTCAAATATGTCACATTATGTGTTGTGCCAGATAACTTAGACACACACACGCACACACTCACATTTACTTACACATACTCACACAGCTCATAAATTTCCACATTGCAGCCTGTCGTAATTGCATAATAGGCAACTACAAACAACAATGTTTCCTCTCATTTACAGTTTAGTTTAGTTAACAGCAGCAACATCAATTAGCAGAAACAACCACAAGAAGAAGAAGAAGCAGCAGAAGTCGAAGCTAGAAACATGGCGGTCTTTGGCATGTTATCGGCTGTGTCCGGCTTCATCAAGATACGCTATCTACTGGACAAGGCGGTGATCGATAACATGGTCTTTCGCTGTCATTATAGGATCACAACAGCCATACTATTCACTTGTTGCATTATCGTTACGGCCAACAATTTGATTGGTAAGTGCATTCACTTCATTTTTGTTAACTTCTCCAATTCGAATTTGAAACCTGTGAAAATTAGTGCAGTCTATGCAAATGTGTTAGCCATGCCTTTGGCCCCTTATATTTGTGCATACAATTACAAGCGATTGCGCTGAGTGTGGCATAAATGGAAGCTCAGACGGTGATTCACGACTGTCAAATACTCTGTGTTTGTAGCACAGAAAAAACAGCTGTTTAGATAAACAAAACAAAAGGTTTGTAAATGGATTACAATAAAATAAATACTCATTGTTTAGATTGAAAATTTAACTGAAACTGCTTTAGCTGAATGTGTTTGTTAATCACTCTGAATGATTGCAAAACTGTACAGTGACTTTCCAACTTTCAACTTTTGTTTGTTGGTCTACGAAACATAATTCCATCGATCACATTTCTCAGTGATTCTTAAACTACGAAGCAGTGACTTTCAAACTGTGCAAGCATTGCTATAATATAATCGAACTTTTAGAGTTTCTAGATAATCAAAAAGTTCCAGGCTAGGCCATATACCTCAGGGTATTCCGTTCCTAAATCGAGTAGAAAACCTTTTGAGCTAATTGAATTTCAAAAACCTATTTACGCTTGCTCAATATTGAATGGTTCGGCAACTCGAAGGTCTGCGGCACGTTCATCAGATTTCAGATGTATACGCAAATGAGTCAAATGAGTGAGTCACAGCGGGTGGTGCGTGTCTTGGCTGTGTGAAGATTCATGTAGCCAGGTCTCAGCTCGTCTCTGACTGCTGCTAACAAGCTTTTTTTTTCGTGGCAAGCCGCAGCACGTCTGAGCCAGTTTCTGTGAAATTGATTTATGGCCAAAACTCGCTGCCAAAGCCAATGTTTGTGCATTAAGAGAAGCGCACACATACAGACATATATGGTGCCAATATAAATATTGACAATTGAGTTCTAGGAAACTTCAAACAAGCCCCAAAGCACATAGCTCAGCTCTTCTCGATTTGTGTACGCTAGAGCGAAGCAGCAGGAGGGGCAAACACAGAGAGAGGGGGCAGCGAGTGGGGGCAGGCACACCCATCCAGAATTTTGTATGAGCAGGGTTAGAGATTTAGATTGCCTTAATGCCACTTGACGTTGATGAACGGCATTTGGCTGCACTCATGCAAATGCATTTGATTTTGATGCACATAAAAAAGTAAAAAAGGTCACGGGTTCTAATTTCAAATTGCAACTGATTCACGTCGTTATTTGTAGCCCCATTGTGAGGCTAGTTTTATATAAGCCCAGCTATATGTAATAGTTATATCTATACTGATAAACTTCTCTCTATGCTCGGGCAGGTGATCCGATTAGTTGCATTAACGATGGCTCCATACCGATGCATGTGATCAACACGTTCTGCTGGATAACGTACACCTTTACGATACCTGGCCAACAGCATAGGCAAATTGGCACCGACGTTGCTGGGCCTGGACTGGGCAATGAATATGGACAGGAGAAACGCTATCATAGCTACTATCAGTGGGTGCCGTTTGTGCTGTTCTTCCAGGTGAGTTTTCCGATTGGGTGAAAAGAAAACGAATTTGAAAAGTGAACTTACGACGTTTCCCCCCTCAGGGTATCATGTTCTATGTGCCCCATTGGATCTGGAAGAATATGGAGGACGGCAAGATACGCATGATTACGGACGGTTTGCGTGGCATGGTCTCGATGCCGGAGAAGTATCGCAAGGATCGGCAGATGCGTATTATTAAATACTTTATTGAAAGCCTCAACTCGCACAATGGCTACTCCTTTGCATATTTCTTCTGCGAGCTGTTGAACTTCATCAATGTAATTGTGAATATCTTCATGGTGGATAAGTTTCTGGGCGGTGCTTTTATGTCCTATGGTACTGATGTCCTCAAGTTCTCCAATATGGATCAGGACCTGCGCTACGATCCGATGATCGAGATCTTTCCAAGATTAACGAAGTGTACGTTCCGTAAATTTGGCCCGAGTGGCTCAATACAGAAACACGATACGCTCTGCGTGCTGGCCCTCAACATACTCAACGAGAAGATCTATATATTCCTATGGTAAGATTCCCAAATAGTGCTGATCGATCATGTTTGTTAAAGCCCGTTCTGTTGCTACAGGTTCTGGTTCATTATACTGGCTACGATTTCTGCCGTGGCCGTGCTCTATTCCCTGGTGGTCATCATGATGCCCACCACACGCGAAACGATCATCAAGCGCTCGTACCGCTCAGGCCAGCGGAAGGCAATTAATAAACTAGTGCAACGTTTGGAGGTAATTGTATGGGCTTTATCATTAATAGATAGGAGCTAACGGTCTCTCTTCTTTGACAGATTGGCGACTTTTTGATCTTGCACTTCCTTAGCCAGAATCTTACCACTCGATCGTACGGCGATATGATAGATCAGCTATGCAGCTTGTTGACCAACGAGGTGCCGCGCACACCCTCCGCCCCCTCGACGCTGGAAATGAATCAAATGAGCCATTCAATTTATCCGCCCGCCGAGCTATTCGACGGCAAGGAGACCGAGACATAGGCGCTATAGCAATTAAATTGGCGCTAATTTTAAACAAACAAACAAAAATTTCAATGATTTCTCAATAATATTTGTAGACGATGTGGAGATGTGACCGATTCGAGGTGTTTTTTTAGTAGGTGTTCTAGGCTTGTAGGCTTTCTAATATATATTATGCATATATATCTATATGGATATATATGTATGTGCATCTCTAAGACTGTTTTTTAAGTTGAAACATGAATTTGAGGAAATGTCAGCAAAATCGAAAACGAAAATTAAAACAAAAACATCAAAAAAATATGGAATCTTTAGCAAAATTTGTACGCTTGGAGAGAGAGAGAGATAATGAGAAAGCGCAAGTTAAAGTAGGGAGAGAGAGCGAGGGAGAGAACACACAGGCAGACCGTGCAATTTGTGAATGATAATGAAATTGATCCGATATGCTTATACTGCTACCTAATACAAATTGTATTCGTAGTAAAGTTAACAATGATGCGCCATTTAAATATATATACAAAATATAGTCTATAGTTTTTCTGCTCTTCGATCACGCCAAGATCGCAGCTCACGCAACGTTGATCTATATAGATAGATCAGAGACATACTTACAGCTAAATTGTAGTAATTGAATTATATAAAAGGAGAAAAAAACACAATAACAGTAACAGTAACGAAAACAAAAAGCAATTGCTCTCGCTATTTTTGTCTTAACTTTTAGTATGTAATTTTAAGCAATTTTGTTTATAACAAAATCATTGTGATTATTGCTAGAAAAGAACACATTTTACATAAATACAAAATAAAGAAACTATCTAAGTTTTAAATTGTAATAAATATGATAAACGAGTCTGATTTCATTTCACTTTTTCGAAGACAAAGAGAAACCAAAAATGTTCTGTTAATATTGAAAAAACCGAGGGAACTCTTTAAAGAGATTGTTCGACTTTGAGGAGTATCTATTTGAGTAATATTTCTGATATATCTTAACTACATATATTCATATCTAATCTAGAGAAAATATATATATATATATATTATATCATCGATGCAGCACTCATAGCTAGATTGAAATTCGATCAACTTGGAATTTGTTTTACACAAATATTTAACATCAACAAGCTCAAGTAGAAAAGCTATCAAAATATCCGAGTCTTGCAAAACAAAGAACATTCTTGTGTGTATATCAAAGCACATATATAATATAATATATATACATACATAAACATATATTTATATATATATATATATATATATACATATATACCTAGTATAAACACAACTTTGCGTTACACTTGAAGATTGTGAAACGGAGATAAATAAATATTGCTCTTGAAACAAAAAACCTTGAATTGAAGCCAAGTTTCTAAAGGAAATGTAAGCTACAGTGTGGCCTAACTAAATGTGACTCGAGCTTATTCTGATTAACAAATAATTAGAATTCTGAATATATTCAAATTCTCTTCTATTTCAACGGCAGTGCCCGACTAGGAACTACCCTAAATTCTGCGCACACACTGCTTCACTTATTCTAGATGGACTTTGTTAGTCGAATTTGAAGACATCAAGTTTTAGATTCAATAACATAATCGGATGCGTTTATTTGTTAAGGTTCAAGTTTCTACTGTTTTAAATAGGCTTTTTTTCAGCTTGACAGAAAGCGAAGAGTTTAAGCAAAAGCCTCAAAGGCATCATATACAAGTAGTGTTTGAATTAAGAAATCAAATTATCGATTGATATCGATTATAAGCACATGTGATAAGTTATCGAAATAAAATGATCAGTTGGCACTGCGTAAGGCAGACAGAAATACACATTGAAGATTTCAAGTCTCTGTCTCTGGCTTAAGATACCCAGACGTACGCATCTGCCTTGCCTGACTGTAGACATATATATCGATGAGTTGCGTTCAGTTTTTGTTAAAGTTTATCATCCATATTTATAGTTACTTTACTTACCGATTGCCCCAATCAATTTTGGAGACCACAACCATTTGGAGTTCGATCGTTTGATCCTGTGTCATGGTGGCGCTTAGCAGCTCGCGCCGACTATCCAGTATGGAGTACATGACCTTGCGCAGCGTCTGAAACTTGTACGCCTCACGATCCTGTCGAGCAATTGTTGATAATTATTTAAGTGCTATGAGCTATAGAGAGCATATACTTGCCACATAGAGACGCTTCCAGATCTCGGACCATTCGCGCAGCACTTGCGTGCACTCGGCCACGACCGGATCGATCTTCGACAGATCCTTGATGTGTATGTAGGTCTTGGGAAAGATGCCCACGGCACGGGACTTGCGTGGACAGGAGCCGCGAAACCAATGCCGGCATTCCTCGACAATATCAACGGAATCGCCCACATCCAGGGCCAGGCCGTAACGCACATCGCCATGCCAGTTGTGTATGGCTGAAAGAAACGAAGGGTTTGAGTCTTTGAGGAGTTGCAATCGGAATTGGCAGCAACCAGTTGCGCCGTGGCCCGTGACATTGGGACTGCATTGGTGTTGAATGGAGAAGACGCCAGCCAGGCTATAGCCAGGCTATTGAAGGCAATTAAAGTGCTCCCATGAGTGGCTACTTGAGCATGCCACGAGTGGCACAGCAACAATAAATACTTCAACTATAAATAGGCAAATGGCTGTGGAAACAAAATACGTTCAAGCATATGGGCGGCGTGTGTGTGTCTCTCAAGGAGCAACAGCAGCAGCAGCAGCAGCAACAACAATTGCCACAAGCGGCACTTGGCAATTGAACACTTTTGCTTGCAACCAATGAACAATAAAGGGAAGCTGCAGCTGTAGATGGAGCACGAGATGAGGCTTGAGCAAGGGAAGCGGCTGCTGTTGATGCTGTTGCTGCTGCTGTTGCTGCTGCTGCTGTTGCTGTTGATAAGTGGACGTATAAATCCGCAACGTGGCCGCCATGCTGGCCAATTACAAATGCCAGGCACGCAGTGGAGTCCGGGCGGCGCCGCAAGACCAAGTTGCGGGGGTGTTACGGTATCTGTGTGTGTGTGTGTGTGCGCGCTGAAAGACAAACGAGCGAGCACGGCATGAGCATATCAACGAAAGGAGCTAATAAAACGCACAGCCAGACATATAGATAGAGTGGATGGATGGATGTACATATGTAAGTGCTATATGCCTGCCCGTCCGTCTGCCTGCCCGCCTGTCTGCTTGTGTGTGTATGTGTGTGTGTGTGTGGCTGTTGGTCTGTCTGTCATATGAAATGCTTCAATGCGATGAAAATGGGCAAACTGCTTCCTGTTGTTGCTGTTGCTGTTGATGTTGCTGTTATACCCTGTGCCCATTCAAAGTGAGTAGGGTATATTCCTTATTTATGCATTATTTGTTTATGCTTAAAAAACGTTGTCAGAGAGAAAAGCTAGAAGGAAGTGCAAATTTGTCTTAATGTGTCTCAATCTATCTCTCTGGCTTACATATTTAAATGTCTCAAAAGTAGGCTTTGCCAGTCTCCATGAATTATAAATAAAATTTCATAATTGTAAAGTAGATTCACAAAATTCCAAACGCAATTTTTGGAAGACAATGAATATAGAGATTTGATTGTAAAGAGTCTGCAGGTAAAAACTTAACATTCGAAACATCTTTGCAGAGGTTAGAAAAGTTAGAAAAGTTTTTATATTTATTTTCAAAAGTTTTTAATATTTAAAATTTTGGAAAATATGTTTTTTATATTTCTAATGTATGATATTTGTGCACATACATCAAGGTGTACTCAAATAATATTCTACCAATTAAGTTAATTTGATTTTTTACTCTCTTACGCCTGTGGAAAAATGAGGCAGGAGCAGGAGCCGAGCTAGATATAAAATAAAATTAGTTTGTATTTATTATATATATATATTGTATTTATTATATATTATATATATATATATATATATATATATAATATACAGCTATTTTTATGTATTATATATTATTTAGTTATTTTATATATCTAGTCTTATTTTTTACTTTTAGATCTTAGCCAGCTCTGTGTGTCTGTGTCTGAGCTTCTATCCGCCCGTGATCTGACTCAGATCTAAAACTTTAAATTTGAAATATATATTCCTGGTTTCTTGTAAGCCGTAAGCAGAATGAATATATCTTTTTCTTTCACTATCCCTGCCTTAACTTTCAAATCTAGTTACGAATCAATTTGTTGAGAGATTTTTATGTGAGAGACTTTAAATGGCATGATTTTGTATGCTTGTCTTTCTCTCAGTGTATGTTTTAACAGGGTAACTGTTAGTGGGGCACTGTTCACTTGTTGTTCCTGTGGCTGTTGCTGCTGAGCATTACGTTTGCCGCGTCTTCAACTGCGTCTTCCTGCTTTAGCATTTTCGTTGGTTCTGGTGGGGGTCGTCGTCTAACTTTTGCTACTGACTGAAGCCGGTTGAAGCCGGAGCTGGAGCCGTTGCCTTTGCCTTTGCTGTTGCCGTAGCCGGAGATGGAGATGGAGCCACTGCTGATTTAAATGGATTTCAAGCTGCTAAATAGCTGAAATTTTATAATTTAAATGGATAAAGCAGCGAGGGAGGCGCTCTGAAGTTGGGCTTGGGCTTGAAGCAATTCAACTTGCGCTAGCAACAACACTCAAGCAAATGAGCACACACACCACAGACACTACACACACACGCACACGCACACACATTCATTTAAGCTGTGGCAGTTACGGGCAGGCACAGTGCCAACCAACCGTCGCACTATTTAGGTCAGTCACATTAGGCAGGCGTCGGGCTGGCAAGCAGCTAGCCAACGCCCCGCCCTATGCCTTCAAAGCACACACACACACATGCATACACTGAACAAAATTAAGGTATCTTGTACTTAAAACTTAGTCTAGTTTCAGCTGGGATTTTTCTAAATATAATATATAAATATATAAATAAATATAATATATAATATATAGAATATTAAAATTCAATATATTTTAAAAAATTTGCAGAATTTCTAATTTTAAATAATTTATTAATAATTTTTAGGCAATATTTTTTAGACTTAGGATTTCATTGAATCACTACACAAGATTCTTTTAGAATATTTAAACTAAAACTCCAAAATGAATGCCTCAAATTTAAGTCGTTTTTATTTTTGACCAAGTTTAGTAAAGATTTTTTAACACAAGTTGTGCTTCAATCGAAGTACCTAAGTCTTATTTTAAGAACTTAAGTATCTTTCGATAAGTATATATAAATTTAATATATATAAATTTTTGATAACTATTTGGAATACTTGAAGAATTCTTAACATATATGAAAATATAATGCTTGCTCAAAATATTCTAGGTTTTTCTTTAAAAAACTTAATTAAGCTCCTATTTTTGACAGTGTATTTTACACATAGGCCGCCCAGCCCACCCACAGCCAAGCGCGTTTAGAGCTGCGCATAATTCTAATGAGCATATTTTTTAGACATCAGAGCGCATTTAATGAAAATGAGAAAGAAATTTAATATTTCATTTCCCTAAAATAGTTGGGAATGGCGCCAAGGCATATATAAGAGAGGTGGGGCGGGAGAGATAGAGAGAGAGGCAAGTAGTGCCAGGCCTAGAGGGCAGATAATTACCGTTGCCCTTTAATTGCGCTTTTGATAAAGTACTCGAGGCTCACAAATGGGATTTGCCAGAGTTTTACTTTGTTCATCAAAA